GACAAATTTTGCTGAAATTTCGTTTGACTTGACGTATGGTGAAGACGAAAAAGAACCAGACTTTTACCAAATTCAATACAAAGAAGTAATGGTCTTTTTCTTAACGATTTTTTATTAATCGCTCTGATTTCAGAGTAACGGTACCCCCGGTACTTTCGAAAATTTTTCTGATCTAGAACCCTTCCAAAAACCCCTCTTAAACAGAAGAGTGATAATCCCAACGAGTTCTTTCGGTTACAAAATTCGGGTGTTGTTGTTCGTAGGAAACGAACACTATGAAGAAGGAGTACCTGAGTTAGTAATGACCCCCACATCAAGAAAAATTTGGTACATAGGTATCATTGTTATATCAAGCATACTTAAGAATTACTGGCTATTTGGACTCCTCACTGCTCTTGGTGTATTTTTCTTATACGTTGTGTTGGTACCCGTATTTCTCTACTTTTGTGGAAAAAAGAATAAAGCGAGTAGTCCAAAAGTCGAAGTAATACCTTTATTATCTTTATACGGAAACGACGCCTGGACATACCAGAATAGTACTGTGTTATAGTTGTTACCAGATGAGGAGGAAAATTTAAACAAAAATAAGGGCTAGCATTACATTCCATGTACATATTAATTGTGACTAGATTTAATTGTATTCCTACGATTGACGTATTAATAAATTCTTAGCCTACCATCGAAGGAGAAACCGTACCATGAAACCAAATTTATTTATTCAATGTAAACGTGTTTTAAATTTATACATTTAATACAAAGGTCATAATGTAATTCCAATCCTAATAAAATTCTTTATCCTGGTCTGCAAACCGTTGCTCTACGGTCTCGATCACGTCTTCATTTGACTAGTATCTCTTTACTTTCAAGTGTTTTTTCAGTTTGGGAAAGAGTCACCTTTTAAGATTTTTCCACGACGTTTTTCGATCATATTTTCTCGCAATTTGCTCAGAAAGGTTTAATAAAAACATAAACACAGTCCTTTAAAAAGAAACTGGGCATGCCCTCATGTCCCATAGTAAAAGAATCTTTAGAACTTTTTGTAGTGCTCTAAGGACATTATTGGTCATCAAGGCTGGGCAACGCGCCTCTTTGGCCTGGATTTCCACCAAAACGGGAGGTCGAAACTAACCCATCTCATTTGTTAAGGCTGCATACTGCAGGATGAGCTTCCCTGGGGGCTATATCCTTCTGCTAGCCCTGGCGTCGAAATTCGACGTTCTCTTTTGGGACTCCGTGGTGGGTCGGGACGCAGAAGGATGATCATTTAAAACTTATAAAAGATTCAAGTCGGAATATACTTATAACTTTGTAATAGAAGTTACTAATAATTTGCGCCAAAAAATATTTAGAAATTTAGGTGGTAAAATATCCGTGGGGTGGAGCTTATGCTCTTGTACCGATCATTTGCAGATTACACGTTGCTACAAATGTTCCAGATTTGGTAATAAGGCAAGTAACTGTACTGAGAACAAATTAGTTTGCGCCAAGTGTACTGGAGATCATAACTCTAAGGAGTATCAGTTACATCATCAAAAATGTATCAATTGTCTTGAGTACCACGAACGAAACAAATCTTCCAATATAGACGTAAATCATGTTTGCGCAGATGAAGCTAAATGTTTTGTGTACCGAAATAAAGTTAAATATTTACAAAATAAGATTGACTATGGTTCATAAAGTTCAAAAAAAATTTAAAATGGCACATTTAAATGTTCGGTCACTTACAGCTAGTTTTGTCGATTTTTGTGACTTGATTAACGCAGATAACTTGGATTGATTGGGATTAGCGAAACATGGCTTTCAAATAAGATTGCTTCTGCTGACATAAGTCTGAATGGTTACAACTTATTTCGTATGGACAGAGCGAAGTGGACGTGGAGTAGGTTTTTATGTAAGAAATAATATAAATTGTGATACTGTTAAATTTGACGTTGATCATAATGATTGTATGGAACATATGTGGCTTAAATGTAAGGTTAATAATACAAGTATTTTTATAGGAGTGATTTACAGACCGGAAGGTAATTCAATGAATACTATTAACTTAGTAGAAGATATTTTGTCCCAAGCAATACCAGAGTACGATATAGTTGCAATCGTAGGTGATCTTAACATTGACCTATTAAATATTACTAATGTGCTAACTGACTCTATGTCTAATTTTGACATGTTACAAATTATCAATGAAGCTACTAGAGTCACTGCTACATCAGCGACTTTGGTTGACCATATTTTTTTGAACAAACCGGATTTAGTCTTGAACAAAGGTACGAAAAATGCAGACGCCATATCAGACCACAGACTGGTATTGGCTGAATTAAAAATTTGTTCGCCGATACGAAAACCAAAATATATTACATTACGAAATTTAAAGCAAATAAATAATGATCGCTTTCAGTTAGACTTGTCAAGTATACCTTAGGATAAAGTCTTCTACTTTCCTACTATAGATGAAAAGTTGGAATTTTTGACAACAAACATTTTACTATTATTCGACATCCATGCTCCTTTGCGTACCATAAGAATCACCAAACCTAAAGCTCCGTGGTTGACTGATGTGTTAAAGCTAATTTTTCGTGAAAGAAACCTAGCTTATAGTAACTATAAAAAACATGAAACCCCTGAGAATTGGAACAAATATAAAAATTTAGGAAACTTTGCGCTCGCATCTCTCAGAAGAGAGAAAAAGGCTTAATTGGTTAATATGTGCGGTCAAAACAACAGTCGACAATTTTGGAAATATTTAAATGCCTTACGCATTACTAGGACCAGGTATCTTGAAATTCCATCTCACTTAAATAATCATGATACAATTAACAATTTTTTTGCATCTGTTTTTCAGAATGTGTCTCCTAATCCTAACATGACTGAATTTTATTCTTCTCAAAAATTCAAAGACAATTTAGTTTTCACTTTCCAGTTTTCAACAATTGAAGAAGTTGCTTTAATTATTCGTTCTCTAAAATCTAATGCCTTAGGGTTGGATCAAATTTCGTTAGAAATGATACAGTTGTGCAGCTCTGTGATACTTCCTCACATTACTCATTTAATTAATTGCTGCATCGAAGCTGATTACTTTCCTACTGCTTGGAAAACGGCTTTAATTAGATCTCTGCCAAAAGTATCATCACCTGAATCTCCCAGCGACTTACGTCCAATTAGTTTGTTGCCTACTTTTTCTAAAATTTTCGAACACGTTCTTGTGCAACAGTTACGCAAATATAGTGAAGAAAATGAAATTATACCAAATCATCAGTTCGGTTTCAGACAGAATCACAGTACCACCACTGCTTTGCTACATTTAACTGATACTTTAATCCGTAATCTAGACCAGAAGTTGTCGTCAATTCTTGTGACACTGGACTATTCCAAAGCTTTCGATAAAATAACTCACGAACTACTACTTGCAAAGCTTTCATGTTATGGTTTGTGTAATTCGTCTGTAAGTTTAATTAAGTCATATCTATGTGATCGTGGACAAAAAGTGGTGATAGGTAGTAAGTTTTCGGACGTTGTGGCAGTAACCTCAGGTGTACCTCAAGGAAATGTCCTGGGGCCACTTCTGTTCACTATCTTTATTGCTGATATAGCCAATGTTGTCAGGAATTGTGGTATGTTTTCTTATGCTGATGACATCTCTTTAATTTATAAATTTAAATCGGAGGAAACCAATACGATTGCATTGTTAATTTCAGATTTAGTAGCTGTATATGAATCGGTCAAGGATCGAAACCAATTAAAAAATAATATAAATATCACCATAAATAATGAGACTATTCCATGGAAGGAAAGTGTAAAAATACTGGGCATTCATCTCGATGAATGTATGAGATTTAAATTACATGTAAGCCATATTCTACGTCATACGTTTAGTCGCTTAAAAGTGTTATATTCGTCTAGGTTCATACTCAATTTTAAAACTAGGAAAAATTTATGTGAATCTCTTGTACTTAGCATTCTTTCTTATGGAATTACGGTATTTTACACTTGCCTTGATCAGATGCATAAAAATGGAATACAAAAATTGCAAAATGCTTGTTGTCGTTATGTGTTTAAACTTAGAAAATACGACCACATATCTTCTAGATTTAAAGAACTTATTAATAGGTTAAATGTTGGAAACACTGCCTCCTACCACCTGCTTAGCTTAACATATCGTTGTCGGATTAGTCGTAGACCTATTGATTTGGTTAAATTATTCAAACCTTTGTCCACTAGAAGCAACCCAAGGCGTAAGTTATTTTTGTTACCTAAACATTCTACATCCATGTTTTGCAGGAGTTATTCTTACAATGCCATCACCTTGTATAATAGCATTGACCAAGCAGCAAACTGCTATAATTTGGCTTTGTTTAAAAAATGTATGTATTGTTGGGTGGTTAAGTGGTGGAATAGCTTGTGGCTAAACTTCGCCACCTTGGATAAATAAATAAAGACGTTATTATTATTATTATTATTATTATTACATGGGATATATCACAATACTCAAATTCTATCTAAGTATGGGGACATCATTTGAAAATAGACAGAAACCCATTTGAGTACCATTTAGTAGAAAGAAGTAGTCTAGAACACGGATTCATAAACAGACAGACGGTACACTTGGGGTCATTAACGTCGAGGAAGAGATTTTCCCATACGTGCACCGGCGGCAATAGTACTTCCCTCTCGAGGCGTACATACACCACTGTTTCTACGACCAAGAGCTAAAAGCCATTATTTTTAACAAAAAATTAATTGTAATGAACCAATGTTAGAATTTACACGATTGTTGTAGTACTTGAGAATATTTTTTTGAGAAATTAAAAGAACCTTGGGAGCCTCAACTGTTTCTTTGAAAGAATTCCAGAAAAAGAATAGCACGTGATCGATCTACAACAATTTTGATGACGTCATGTTGGGATTTTTGCTTACATATGTTAAATAAATGTTTTGCTATAAACATGCCGAAATTGATTCATGATTAAATAAATAATCTTCTAGGAGTAATATTTATTCACAAAGATTATTCTCGATTATAACATTTTTTCCGATAACGTACGATGAAAAGTAAAAACTTGCACCATGAGGATGTATTTGAATCTTCACATTTCTGTATTCTGGATTTTGGTAACGCGAGCGTCCACCGATGTAGTTACCCTAATCAAAAATCAAAGTATTACATGTGTTTTAACAGAAGAAAGTGTTTATTCAGCTTTGTACATATCATCAAACTCATCAGTAGATAATCCACTCATAGATAGTAAAAGAAGCCTCAGTAAATTAACCCAATGGGTTATAAATGACTGGAACGTAAGTACCACTCAAGAACTACCATTTTATCCTGTCGTAGATGTACGTTGGGAAGGTAAGAATTCAGTCTTCTATCCAATCCGATCTAATTCTAACGCTCAACAGAATTTCCGAACATAAAAGATGCCCAAATTAACATCTCTCAAACCAACGTTACTTCTTTGTCCTTGTGTTTCCACCAAAGAACTATTCTGAACGCAGATGGCGGAGAATTCATTTCAATTGTACGGGATAAACACGAAAATGTGAGTATATCCCGCTTATAAACCCAAATGACGAAATTAAAACAGGTGGAACAAAATGTCTGTCAATGGTCACATTACACAGTGCGCCAAAAGCAAATTTTGGAAATTAAATTTTCGGAAACCGCTTTCCATGAAATTGAAATATGGAAGCTAGGATTTGTTCCAAAATACATAATTTTTCCAAAAAGTGGAGTGAGGATAAAAACACACCTATGTAAGATCGTAATCAAAATTAGTACTTCTTTTGCTTACTTATATTGGAATTTGTAGACGGTTTCCGGTACTCCCGTCTGACTACTCTTAACGATGGGATCAGTTTTCTGGATATTAGCAATCTATCAAATTCCACCGATCTTTGCATTTCTTTGTTTGTGTCTGTGGATGAAAATTGCTATCTAGATGTAGTACTAGAATCAGGTACCATCCCCAAAACTGTAAGAGTGGACGGCTTTAATTTAGAAAATAAACCAAAATCTTGGAAGCGAATTGAAATTCACACTAGTAGTTACAACGGTACTGGAAAGCTCAATTTCTATCGTTCCAGAAGTGGCAATAAAAGAGAAGGTTTCTGGGCAATCGATAAAGTACACATCTGTAGACTTTCCACGGGTAACGAAACAATTCTGGGGCTTCTATAGATAGTTAATTTATCTTTTAGATGTATACAGTGTGACGATAAAGCGTGAAAATTCTTCATACTGCTGTAAAACACTAGCCACTAGTAGTAGTACTTTTTGCGAACAACCTGGACTTTTAGGTCACAAATGTACAGCCAAGTGTGACCAAGTTTTAGGACAGTCGTACCCCTTTTGTGAAGGTTATAAGATTTGTTTGGACAATGGAACTTGTGAGTGTTCATGGGGGTTTAAAGGAACGACATGTAACCAAAGTTGGTTTAATTTTGAGACGAGTTCAAAATTACTCCTGAGTTTATTTTTAGGTTGTACTGGCGACTACTGGGGGCGTGACTGTGCGTCAACGATAAATTATATGAATTGTGAGAGTTACAACAACACGGTGGGTTGTTTTAAATGTATGAAGAACTTTACTGGAAGACAGTGCACAGAAAAACTACCAGTTGTGCTAAAAACTCCTACGTTAGTTTCCGCCAAGACAAATTTTGCTGAAATTTCGTTTGACTTGACGTATGGTGAAGACGAAAAAGAACCAGACTTTTACCAAATTCAGTATAAAGAAGTAATGATCTTTTTCGTAATGAATTTCTGTTAATCACTCTATTTTCAGAGTAATGGTACCACTTTCAAAAATTTTTCTGATCTAATACCCTTCCAAAAACCCCTCTTAAGCAGAGGAGTGACAATCCCAACGAGTTCTTTCGGTTACAAAATACGGGTGTTGTTGTTCGTAGGAAACGAACACTATGAAGATGGAGTACCTGAGTTAGTAACGACCTCTGCAGTACGCAAAAATTGGTACCTAGGTGTCATTCTTGCATCAAACATACTTAAGAAATACTGGATATCTGTATTCTTCACTGTCCTTGGTATACCGTTGCTATACGTTCATTTGTTGCTCGTATTTCGCTATTTCTTTGTAAAAAATGAACCAAGCCAACAGTCCAAAAGTCGATTTAATGTCTTTACTGTCTTTAAACGATTACGACGCCATACTAATTTACACAACTAGTTCGGGATAGCCTTCCTTCGGTCGTGCCGCAAACAAGCGTTCATGCGGGAAGCAGGCTCACGAACGTGTTGTGTACAATATTTTTTGCAACGAATAAACCTTTAAACTGAAGAAATTAACTGTGAGTTATTTATAAACAATGGCGCCGTCAACACATCACAATGTTGACACTACGCGAGTATTTTAAGGTTACCATGGCAACGGGAAGTTAAAATGCACGTGTGCGGGAAGTTCGAACTCCCGCACCCTGGTGAATGCACGAAAGCCATCAAAAAAGATCATGAGTGCAAAAAAAATATACCAGTTTAGGAACTAAAAAGTAACGTAAACAATCTCCTACAGGCTATATCATAGTAATGTGTTTTAGTTGTTACTAGGTAAAACATTTCGAACTTGTGAGGTGGCTCTTTGGGAGGAAAGTTTAAACAAAAATAAAGACCAGCGTTACATTCCATGTACCCTGAATTTGACATGTGACCCGAATTTGAATTTACACTTACGAGGACGTATTGATAAATTCTTAGCCTACCATTGAAGAAGAAGCCTTACCATGAAACTAAATTTTATTTATTCAATGTGATCGCCTCTTAAATTGATACACTTAATACCACGGTCATAAAGTAATTCCAAACCTCTTAATAAAATTCTTTATCTTGGCCTGCGAACCATTGCTCCATGGTGTCGATCACTTCCTCATTTGACGAATGTCTCTATCTTTTCGAGTGTTTCTTCAGTTTGGGAAAGAGATAATAATCAGAAGGTGGTTCCACTCTTTCGATTGTTCTTTTGTCTCTGGATCACAGTGATGGATCCACTGTTATAATTCGATTCAAAAAGTTGGATAAATCCTCTTCAAAATGGTTCAAATCATCCATCATCTGCCACTTTTGATCCGCATTCAGGCATTTAGGGATCCACGTTCATAAGAAATCTTAAATGTCTCTGTCGAGCCCAATTCGACGATCTTCCGAAATCAGGTCATGTACGACATCAATGTTCTTGGAGTTGTCACACAAACTTGTCACAGCACAAAGATATCGAAGCAATACCCTAACTGTTGTTCAAGAGTTATAAGATGATGAACTCCAAGACGGATTTTTTCAACATGACGGTGCCACGGCACATACAATAGTAGACAATTGGAATTTTTTTAGTGAATTCTTTGATGATAGAGTGATAAGTTTACATTCAGTTCCTGAGTGCCCCCTAAGGTCACCAGATTTAACCCCTCTGGATTACTTGTTCGGTCATTTAAAAATCAGTATTTTTAGAATTCCCATTAAAAAACTGAAAAACTGAATTAGCGAAGAATGTGCTCGCATTACTCCTGCTACACTACAAAATGTGTTTGATAACATAAAAAGACGTGTCAATTTATGTATCTTTTTAAGTAAATTTATTCACAAATGTGCAGAAGTTATTTTCTTTCACTAGTTTTTCATTTTCTAGTCTTCATCAAGCAAGAGCTAACCTTCTTTTGTAAATTTATTTAGATCAGTATGCAACCAACATTACACATGTGTTTATTTAATTGCATAATCTTAAAAGTATTAGAAACCGAGAACACACGGTTTAAACTGAATATAACTTGACTCCTACCGATGTCAATACAAAAACATTTTATGCAGATGTGATTGTGAAAATAAATATTGGAGATGACGTCATACTCCTACGTTATCTGGTGACATAACATAATGACAGCGAAAACTAGACCATCAAAAGAAATTGGTCAAGGATTATTTCGACAGATCTTCCTTCACCCCTGTATCCAGGCCCAAAAATCCCGCTTCTTTGAATAATTATAAATTTTTTTCTTATTTTTGTTTTCTCTATTAGTTAAAAAATTAAAATATTTTAAGGATCTAAGTATTGAAAAATTAAAAAATATAAAAACTAAAAATTCAAAAAACCTAAAAACGGAAAAATTAAAAAATCAAACCTTTTCAAAATGAAAAATTGAGCAATTGAAACATCAAAAAATCGAAAAACTAAAATATCGAAGGATTCAAATGTTGAAATATTGAGAAACCGAAAACTTGAAAAATCGAGAAATCTGAAAATCGAAGTCGAAAAATTTTGATATTAAAAAAATTTGAAAACCTTGAAATCAAAATGTCGTTAACTCGAAAAATTGGACCATCGAAAATCCTCAAATTTAGGAAATGAGAAAAACTGGAAAATCAAAAAAACGAGAAATTGGAAAATTGAAAAACCCCCAAATTGAATCTTCGAAAAATTGGAAAATCTAAAAATCGAAAAGCCGAAAAGTCGAAAAGTTGAAAAACTGAAATATCGAGAAATCGAAACATAAAAAACTGAGAAATGGAGAAATCGAAAAATTTCCAAAATCGAAAAACCAAAAAATTGTGAAATGGAAGATCCAGAAATCAATACAATATCAAAAAATTGAAAAACGCAAAATTTAAAAAATCGAACCATTAAAATATCGAAAAATTGAAAAATCCAGAAATTGGAAAATTGCCAATAATTTAAAGTAAATGTTGAAACATTGGGAAATCGAGAGCTTGGAAAATCCAGAAATCGAAAAATCGGCAAGTTCGAAAAATTTTAAAAATCAAAAAACCGCTTTTTCAAGACATCAAAAATTCGAAAGATCGGAAAACTGAAATATTACACAATTAAAAAATCGGAAAATCGAAACATCAAAAAAGCGTCAAAATCGAAACATCCTCAAATTTAGGAAACGAGAAAAACTGAAAAATAAAAAAAAAACAAGAAATTGGACAATTGAAAAAATCCCCAAATTGAATTCTCGACAAGTTGGAAAATCTAAAAACCGAAATTCGAAAAGTTGAAAAACCGAGAAATCAAAAAATGAAATATCGAGAAATCGAAATAAGAAAACCGAGAAATGGAGAAATTGAAAAATTTCCAAAATCGAAAAACTGAAAAATTGAAAAATTTAAAAACCAAAAAATTGTAAAATCGAAGATCCAGAAATCGAAACAACATCAAAAAGTGGAAAAATCCAAAACCATTAAAATATCGAAAACTTGAAAAAATCCAGATATTGAAAAATTGCTAAAAATTTAAATGTTGAAAAATTAGGAAATCGAAAAATCGGCAAGTTCGAGAAATTTTAAAAATCAAAAAACCGATATTTCAAGTCATCGAAAATTCGAAAAATCGGAAAACTGAAATCTTAAACAACTAAAAAATCGAGAAATCGAAACATCAAAAATTCGGAAAACTGAAAAATCGCAAAACAAAGTCTAAGAAATCAAAAACCAAAAACGAGAAATCGAGAAATTAAAAAATTCCCAATAAATTCGAAAAACTGGGACGTTGAAAAACGTAAATAGAAAAGCCGAAAAATCGAAAAACCGATATTGAAAAATTAAAACATCGAGAAATAGAAAAATCAAGAAATTGAAAAAGCCAAATTCGAAAAATTAGTAATTGAGAAATTGAAAAATTTAACATTCAACAAAATCGAGAAATCGAAAAAGTGTAAAATCTAAAATCGACAAGTCGGAAAATCAAAAAATTGCATCAAAAGTTGAAAAATCTAAAATTTACGAATTGTAAAAATTGACAATTACAAAGAACAGAGAGCTGAAAAATCGATAAATAGAAGAATTTAAAATTTAGAAAATTGAGTAGTTCATATATCGAAACATATAAATTTAAAAAAATCGAAATATTGAAAAATTCCAAAACTGATAAATCGTTAAAGCGAAAAATCGAAAATTTGAAAAAGCCCAAAACTGAAGCATTGAAAAATCAAGAAATCGAGCAAAATCGATTAATCGAGAAATTGAGACGTCGAAAAATCGAAAATTTGAAAAATTCCAAAACTGAGAGATTGAAAAATCGAGAAACAGCAAAATCAATTAATGGGAAACTTAATAACGCCAAAAACTGAAAAACTGAAAAATCGAAAAATTGAGGAATAAAAAAATTGAAAAATCGCAAAACTGCAATATCGGAAAATTGAAAATCGAGAAACTGAAAAATTTAAAAATCGAGAAATTGAAAAATTAAAAAAATAAAAAATCAATAAATTATAAAATTAGTTCGATAAGACTCGAAATATGATATTAATGAAATTTGTTTTTGTATGGAAATTCATTAGGGGTGATGTGAGTGATACTATGTCAAGTGAAGTTGAGGGGTTATCGTTGGATAAATAAATGTAGGAAATATTGGAGTGTTTTTTCACCTTTCCGACGCTCATTGGAAGAATTGGCACCAAAAAGTTCCATTTTAAATAAAATTGCAAATAGTCTGGAGAAGATTAGATGCTTTTAAAGCTAAGTGAATTTTGTTCTTGAGACAAATTTTTATAATAAGAATTCAATTTTTTAAATTCCGAATGTTTTTAATTCTCTGTAGACAAAAACACTAAAATTTTGTGTAGGACACTCCGTACGTAAATTTTTTTTTGAGTGTATATTCTGTTTAAAAAATCTTGTTGAAATGATATTCGAGAAGCAGAATGTGAATAAAATATGAGGAAACTTTGTTCAATATAATCTTAACACACTTAAAAAAACAAACTAGCAAATATTGAAATTGACTACTTCATTCCCCATTCACGACACCGACGATAAGATAAGGCTACATAAATAATAATTATGAAGATTAGCTGTAAAATGCACTATAAATATAATACGTATATGTTTATTACTTAGGGACGTCATTTGAAAATATACAGACATCCATAGAAAAACAAACAGACGGAAGCGGGACACTTGGGGTTATTAACGTCGTGAAACATGAAAGTAGCCTTGGGTTACCGTCAAGAAGTAAAAATCACACGGTTTATTGTACATCCAAGAAAAGATTTTGTCACAGGTGCACGACAATAGCACTTCCCTCCCGAGCTGTATATACCTATACTGTTTTTTCCACGACCAAGAGCTAAAAGACATTATTTTAGTAAAAAATTAATTGTAATGAACCCGAGAGAAAGAAAAATTCAATACTTTAAATCGTTCTGAAATTTAGCGCGTGTTTTCAAATGATCGTGAGCCTGATCGATCTACAATTATTATCCATTTATCCTCACGAAAATTTTGATGACGTAATGTAGGGATTTTTGCTTACACATATTAAATGAATGTTATGCTACAAAAACATGCCGAAATTGATCCATGATTAAATAAATAATCCTGTAATATTTATTGACAAAGATAATTTTCGATAATAACATTTTTTCCGAAAACCTACGATGAAAAGTAAAAATTCACACCATGAGGATGTATTTGAATCTTCACATTTCTATATTCTGGATTTTGGTAACTCTAGCGTCCACCGATGTAGTTACCCTAACCAAAAATCAAAGATTTACGTGTCTTTTAACAGAAGAAAGTGTTTATTCAGCTGTGTACATATCTTCAAACTCATCAGATAATCCACTCATAGATAGCAAAAGAACCCTCACTGAAGTAACCCAATGGGTTACAAACGACTGGAACGTAAGTACCACTCAAGAATTCCCATTTTATCCTGTCGTAGATGTACGTTGGGAAGGTAAGAATTCAGTTTTCTACCCAACCCGATCTAATTCTGACGCTCAACAGAATTTCCGAACTTAAAAAATGCCCAAATTAACGTCACCCAAACCAACGTTACTTCTTTCTCGTTGTGTTTCATCAAAAGATTTT